CCCCCCATGTGTGGCATGGCAGGAGGTGCCACCAATAATTTGGGATCGGTGCTCAGATCCTATGGTGCCTTTAAACAAATGTGTGCCAGGTGCCTAAATCTCAACCTTTATTCACTAACACGCATTAACTAACCATATAACACTAACCCGTGCCTCCCGAAGCCCTGTGACCCACCCCGCTACAAAGCCAGATTAGTGAGCCACACAGGGCTGGCCCAGGTCCTGCCGCGTGCCACCCCCGCCACAGGCACAACAGGGCAGAGGAAGGACCCAGGGTGGCACGCAAGGACCACATGCCGCACCCAGCTGGCTCCTGCTGGCCCTAGGGACCCTCTGCCGCCCAGCTGAGCTGGGCTCTCTGTGGCAGGACCCGGTGCGGCACGTGGTGACTGCGTGCTGGACAAAGCCAGGTCCTTCCATCCTTAGGGCCCCTCTGCTGCCCAGCCGGGCTATTCCCATGGTGGCAGGACCTGATGCAGTGCATGGAGACTGTAAGCCACACCCAGATGGGTCCTGCTGCCATGGGCCTGTCCGGGCCGGGTGGCAGGAGCAGCCCCAGGGCTGACAGGACCTGTCTGGGCGTGGTGTGCGGTCCCCGCACACTGTGCTGGGTCCTGCCACCATGATAATGGCCCGGCCAGGTGGCAGAGGGGCCCCAAGGAGGACCCAGCTGGGCCTGGCATGCAGTCCCCATGTGCCACACCAAGTCCTGCCACCATGGCCTGGCCCAGCTGGGTGGAAGAGAGATCCCAGGACTTAGCTGGACCCAGCATGCATTCCCTTCATCCTGCTCTGGGTCCTGTTACCATGGCCCGGCCCTACCAGGCGGCAGATAGGCTCCAGGACCGACAGGACCCAGCTGGGCCCGGCACATGGTCCCCAGGTGCCGTGCCGGGTCCTGCTGCCATGGCTTAGAGCACCCCACTCCCACTGCTGCTGCTAAAGTTAAGTTATGGGTCCTGGGTGGGAGGGCTGTGGCCCTCCAGGGAGGAGCTGGGACCCTGGGCAGGGGTGCCTGTGGCCCTCCAGGGTGCCTGGGACTCCGGGCAGGGGCTGTGGCCCTCCAAAGGGAGCTGGGACCCTGGGCAGGGGGGCTGGAGCCCTGTGAGGGATAGGGGCTGTGGCCCTCCAGGGGGGAGCTGGAGCCCATGTGCTGTGGGAGGGGGCTGCACCCTGTGGGGGCCAGGGGACCTACCCCTCCTGAGCAGCCCCCCCACAAGGTCCCCCACACCCACAGTCCCCCCAGCAGTTGCCCCACACCTACCCATACACCAACCCACATCCCTCCACACACACCCACCTGCCTTCCCCCACGCCCCTAACCACCCCCTTCCTGCAAACACCACATCCCCCCATCACACACCCATCATGTGCAAAGAAAACCAAAAGTACACATCCACACATGTAGGTTTTTAGAATTGATTTTATCATGATGATAGAGACACTGGTAGGCTTCCACATTGCTTTAACATTGTATATATAGCAATAAAGCATTGCCCAACTGATCTCTCTCTCTCTCTCTCTCTATATATATATATATGTGCGTGTGCGTGCGTGTGTGTGTGTGGAAAAACATGGATTTTGGGGTATTTTTCCAAAAGGATTTGGGATGCTGCTGCAGCAGTCCAGCTGGCACAAGGGGTAGTGTCCCCAGGTACCAAGTGGCTGCAAGTGGCTGTGCCCCAGAAGCTCCTAAGAGTGAGTAGCCCTGAGCTGCTTGCCAGGGCAGCTTTTTGTACGGATGGGGCCAGGACAGGGCATCTTTTTATACTGCTGGGGACAGCACAGGTGCTGGCACTGGGCTCTAGTTCTCCCTGGCTGCAGATCCGGGACGAGCCAGTCAGGGTTATTTTGCCCCAAGTGGCACAATTTGCTCCACAACAAAGTGAATGTTCGAGCACGTGCGCCAGGGCAAAAAGCCCCGGCTCAAATTTGCACCTCTTCTGTTTGAGCTGCTGCAAGTGCATGTGCTTGCATGTGTGGATGCACCCACTATAGGCAGTATCTAATGTCCTTCTGGAAATCTTAAGATTTGTTACTTTGATGAAGACCTTCAGGTCACAGACCATTTGCTTTCAGTGCCTAACACAGTAGGACTTTGCCCTGTAGGTGCTGCTGCAATATAAACTACAACCAAAAAATCTTAAATGCTGAGAATGTTAAGCTTGAAAAGTCAAGCACTCAAAAAGTTAGGAGATGCCCAAATTCCCTAATTAAATTTGTCCGTGTAACATTAATTCAGCTCTCTTTTGTATTTGCACTATGATGTAGTCTTTAATTATATGATTCCATGCTCTTTTTCTCTCTGGATTCTTGCTTCATTCAGTGCACAGCATGGAAAGTACTTACTGGATGAGTAGTTATTTAATGTTTTATCTTTATCCTTATCATTAAATATGTGCCTCATGCATTATGTACATCATTTAAACCCTGCTCTGATTTGAAAATTTCTCTCATCGTGGACACTCACCAGTGCAATATCTAAGTGCTTCACAAACACGAGTGAATTTAATTTACAAAAACCCCATGAGAGAATCTGCTATTATCCCTCATTTTACAGATAGAGAATGGAGACACACAGAGATTAAGGACAAAATTGTCAAGTGCCCACTAATTTGAGGGGGCCAGCTTGTCATGCTTAGGGCAAATTATTTCTGAGTACTTAACATTTTATAGCACTTTTGAGTTCTAAGCACAGCTCCCACAGACACCACGTGCAAACATGAGTACTCAACGCTTCTGCAAATTTGACCTCAGATGTCTCAGTCTGGGAACCCAAGTAATGGAGAACACATCATTCATGGATATGTGTGGAATGTATGGTTCAAGAGGCATTCCCAACATCACACAGGCACTCTGTAGGAGAGGCGGGGTCATGATCCAGTTATTTAGGATATTTGTTTGTCTCATTTACTAAATACCTTCCAACATCTGCAAATTAGGCAGTCTTTACAGACAAAAAGCCTATTTACTACCATTTAATATGGTCAAAACAGTACATTTTTTTCCTAAAATTCATCCTTGGCAATAGTTGAACTGTTTTAGGTAAAACTTTCAAAAGAAAATTGAGCCTGACCTATAGGCATTGAGCAAGGATAATTTCAGTTCAAATAGCTCAAGTATGTGAAAATTGAAAGCATCTGACAACTGGGTCTTAAAATGAAAGTTTTGCAACCTTAACTAGAGGTACTACTATCGGCTCTGCCTGTAAAAATTATCACTATTCCCCCCCAGCAGATGTCCTTATGTAGTATGAAGACACTGGTTTCACTGTAACTCATCAATCCTCTGCACCCATTTATCGTAGCCATATAGTCAGGCTTGAGGCTTGAATAGGATAAGGACCTCCATTACTTTAACCTCCAGTACCTTCAAGGGACTTCCACTATTTACACATCAAATGATATATTTCCTACAAAACCCAACTTCTATAATAGAATTCTTCCAACCAAAACTGGACATCTGCATTTTGGTACAACCATTCCAATATGACAAGTTATATGACTCTGGCAGTAGTGAGTAAGCTATACTTCTAATACTGCCTGTGACTATGGAGAAAATAATCTTACACATTTTTCTATGAATGTCCTTCAGTGCCTGGCCCACCTTTGCCAATTACTGGGCACCTCTAATTAGAAACAGGGTGTAACTTGCAGCTAGATATATTCGAGAAATGTTCCTAGATATAACATACACCTGTTGCTCTTCAAAATCAATCCCAGTCCTGAATAGATCATTTATGATCAAAGCCTGCTGAAGACATAAAGCCAAGCCAATAACCACAACTACTCAGATCAAGCTGATTTCCTGTATATGGGTATATGGCAGAACAGTATTTTTTTCCTTTTTATCAGTGAGCTGCAAGAACAATTAGATTTTAACCCAACAAAACTTACTATCCAAGTACTTACAAAAGGTTATATCTGATTCATCATTCCAGTGTTTGATGACAATATCCTTGAAAAAACACAACTTTAAATCTAGACAGTCAAGATTCAGGAAATAAGTTCAAGTCACCAGAATGAGTAAAATCATATTCAGTGTTGAAAAGCTAAATCATTTTCCGTGATTCCCAGCTATCACCATTAGATGCAAGTCTCACTGCAAATGTTGAACAATTGTCATTACATAATACTCCAAGGTTAGTTACTGGACTGTATCTCATATATATCTATATCTATAGCTATAGATATATAATCAATAAATATATTTTAATATGCTTATTTGTATACAAGTTATTGTAGTATCATCATATATGATACATACGTATACAGACTTCAGATAACAAATAAAAATGTTACCAAAGATTTCCTTTTTCCCATATTTATGAGAAGAAAATTATAAAAAATATATATTCTGTAGTATAACTTGACATGGGTGCCAATGTATTACAGTACGTAGATTAAATACATTTGTTGTATAATAATGTTATATAAAGAATGAGCTCATTCGCATTGTCTTGCATAAGTGATACATTATACTCCACCCTTAGCCTTGAATCTTCACCTTTTTTGTTCCTCATGCTTGTCACCTATGTCTGTTGCCTAACAGGAAATGAGAGATGTTGCATGACCAAATAGTTATTTATAATAAAGAGCGATATCCTGCAAGGACTTGGGGACCCTTGTGTGATTTGGCTGTAGCTGCCAGCAGCAATCCCCTGTATTTTATTCTTGTTTAGAACCTCCAGGTTCTAAGTCTTCTAAATCTGAAAATTCAAGCTCCGTGCTTCGTTTCAGGATTTTCTCAACTTTTGTCAGTCTCTTTTTCAGTTTCTGCTGTCCGGCATCATACTCAGCCAAAAGCCTTGCAAGTTTTGTTTGTAACCTGTCCACTGCCCCTTCTATAAATGTGACCTTCTCATCCACATCTTTTGGATCAGCTCCTAAACTTGCAATTTCTAAATCCAGTAGGCCATCCTTCATCAGGATTTGCTTACCCTTCTCTTCCAGCATGGCCTTTGCATCTGGGTACTCTGTTAAAGCCTCCATGAGGTCATCTTTAGAGAGACAAAACAAATCTGAGTACCCAATGCTTTTAATGTTGGCTGTTCTTCGATTGCCAGCTTTGCTACCTTTGATATTAAGAATGCTAATCTCCCCAAAGTAGCTGCCATCACTAAGAACCACAAATTGTGTAATTCCATCATCAGCTACCACAGCAAGTTTGCCTTCTTTGATAATATACATTTCTCGTCCAATATCCCCCTTCCGGCAAATATAATCTCCAGGACTGTAGACTTGAGGCCGGAGTTTTAAGACTAATTCAACCAACAAGCCAGCTTCACAATCTGCAAAGATCCGGACTTTCTTCAATGTATCCAAATGAACGTTGATTGCAATCTCTGCTCTTAGTTTATCTGGTAGATACTTCAAAACTTCCCTTTCATCCACTGCCTTTTTATTCGTCCACAGGTAGTCAAACCACTTGATAACTCTTTTTTCCATGTCTTTACTCACATTTCGAAAATGCATATACTGTTTAATGGCATCAATCCTTGCTTGAAACTCTGCTCTGGCTGCATTCATATTGGAAATCATTGAGCCAACATTACCAACAATAGTAGCAAAGATCAGTACTCCAACCAAGAAGTCAGCAACTACAAAAAAGTATTCAGAGTCCTTTACAGGAGGAGGTGTTTCACCAATAGTGGTCAATGTTAGTGTTGACCAGTAGAGGCTATATACATATTTTCTAATCAGGCGAGCAAATTCAGGATCAGAAGTGTCGGGATAGACCCAAGTGTCCGCCCCAAATCCAATTGCTTTGGAGATTGAGTAGTAGACACAAGCATTCCAGTGAATAATAATCACAATGTACATGACAAGATTAGAGATCCTGAAGATATTTGGGTAGTTTGTCCTTGTTTCTGTTCGCTGAAAGAACTCAAACATTCGACCTACTCTAAGCAATCTATTTAGTCTTAACTCTGGGTAGTTCAGCCCTAACTTGAAGTACAGTAGATCAGTTGGTACGACTGAGAAGACATCTAGTTTAAATTGGGAAGATGCCTTATATTTCTCTCTGAGTTTCTTTTCTTCTCTCACCAACAAGCCTTGCTCCAGGTACCCTAAAATTAAATATAAAATCTTTAAATTATTATTATTATTATTATTATTATTATTACTACTACTACTACTACTAATATCATTTTATGGTCTATTCTATTTCATTCTATTATAGGTAAATGCCAGATCCATCTTTAAAATTATTTAGTCCAGACAGCATCAGATGGTACATAAATTCCTTTTTTTAAATCAAGCTGGAAAAATTTGAACAGTTGTTGCAGGGGAGGGGGTTACATGAATTGACTGACTGTAAGTTCCTATGTTTAATGTTTGGAAGCTGTTGGGACCAAATCATACACTTAAATTACTTGATTAAACAGAGCCATCCAAATTACATTATCTGGCTGAGGTGTGTGAACTTATAAGTAGATGCAGAAGCCAGGAACCATTCCTCACGGTGTCAGTATAGCTAGCATTTAATGTTCCCTGAACCCATCCTCTTCCTGCAGCCCTTCTGCCTAGTAACCTTACTTGTCCTCTGGAGTGAAAAAGACAGGATATGTGCTTACATTTCTAACTAGAAAGCCAGCTATAGGCACCCAGTTGTTAGAAAAATAATCTTGATCCTAATTTCTATAGAAATAGAGGTAGATTCTTTATGTATAGCAACACTATATCCACTGCACTTTTGTAGACCATTACTGTAGAACATTCCCTGCTCACTAACTCCCATTCCCAATGGATCAAACTCAGAAATTAGGCACTGAAGCTGCTGTGTGGGTTCAAGCACAGAAATCTTGAGAGAGGTAGTGGGATATACTCTCAGAACAGATTCACTCCTTCATTTCCAGGTTGGGATGAGTAGAGTGGGCACAGGTAGCTGGGGCATGTTTGAGAGTAACACTCTTAGCTGTTTCAGGTCCTATACTAGTTAAGTCCTTAAATTCAGTGAGCATAGATTGCAGCTGCCTTATGCAGTGGAAAAGGTTTACCTGCCCCTTATTGTTTCATAAATTTGGTCCATGTACAGTAATACCTCAGTTAACAAATCCTCTAGGAACAAATCTCCTTTATAACAAAGTTGGCCATTTTCTTCCAAAAAAATTGAAAAACTGAAAAACCCCAAAACCTGTGGCTTTCTTGTTTTACCAGAAAAACCTGCAGATTTTGCAATGAGCTCCCTGCAGGCTAGCAGTTCCTGCAGGGAGGAAGAAAGGAGTGGGAGGAAGGTGGTAAGACAGGGGCCGCCACATGTATGTACAGTACATGCATGTGGTCCCAAGCAGCCTGCAGAGCAGCTCCAGCAGGTAACTGGGGGGGAAGAGGGGGACTGAGGCCCCTGTAGGCAGGGAGCAGGGCAGGACTGAGGCTGCTGTCCATCAGGGCAGGGCTTGGGGCTTAGGGCTCAGGGCGCAGCTGCAGGGCCCCAGTGGGGAGCAGGACAGAGCCATGGGTCCTGCCAGGGAGACCCCTGCATGGGTCCTGCCAGTGTGCGGAACCAGGGGGCAGGAGGAACCCGTGCCCCACAGATCTGTATGCAGGGCAGGCATAGTCTGCAGGCTCGGAATCCTGCTCTGCTTCCCTCCCCCGGGGCCTCCACAGCCCTGCGGGCACAAGCCAGTGCAGTTGGGGACACTGGGGCTGTGCAGGGATCTCCTCACCTCTGCAAGCTTCCCCCCGCCCCCCCACAACATGCTGCCCTGGTGACATGCCTCCTGCATGTGCTGCTGCTTTGAGGGGCGCAACCCTATGCTGTTGCCCTCACTACAGCCCTATATGCAGGGGATGCATTGCCACGGCAGCACAGGGCGAGCAGTGGTGAGCAGCTTCTCCACATGACTCAGATGCTCCCTGCTGTGCTGGAGAGTGCCCACCAGGCTGCGGAGGTCCCAGGGGAGGGAAGCAGCGCGGAGCTCGCAGTGGTGAATAGCTTCTCCATTCAGGCCCACTGTTCCCTGCTGCCCTGCTTCACTCCCTCGGGGCCTCCACAGCCCAGTGGGTGCCACGCAACGTGGCAGGAACAAGCTGATCCATGCAGAGAAGCTGCTCGCTGCTGTGAGCTCTGTGCTGCCCTGGTGACACACCTCCTCCACACAGGCCTCCAGTGAGAGCAGTAGTGCAGGGCTGTACCCCTCAAAGCAGCGGCATGTGCAGGAGGCACATTGCCAGGGCAGGGCAGGGCAAGGCAGAGCTCACAGTGGCAAGGAGATCCCTGCATGGCCCCGCTGCTTCCTGCCATGCCGGGTTGTGCTCACTGGGCTGTGGAGGCCCTGGGGGAGGGAAGAAGGGTGGGAGCCTGAGCCCGCAGCCTGTGCCTGCCCTGCATACAGATCTGGGGGTGCGAACCCCCCACCCCCCAGGAGTGCGCACGGTGGTGGGGAGCCACCTGGGTCTGTAGCCCTGGCAGTTGGGGGACCCTTCCAGCAAGACTAGGGGAGCAGAGGCTGTGGGTGGGGGGTGAGGAGCACCACCAAGGCTGTGGGTGTTGTTGGGGGGGAGTGAGAGGCATGAGCAGGGCCAGGGGACCTGTGGGGGCATTTAATTGAGTATTCTAATAAAAGCCTACATCTGTCTGTCCATAACACTTTATTTGCAATCTGGCTGGCTGACAAACAGCCAATCAGAGCATGAAGAAGCATTCTGACAGAAGGCAGCCTGCCGCCATGATGGTGGGGACACAGGGGATGGAGTAGGGAGGGAGCAAGACCATCACAGACGGAAGTGGGGGGTGAGGCCAGCAGGGCTGGCCTCACCCCCCACCCCCCCCAGCCTGCTCCCTGCAGGTAACGCAAGGGTCAGGGAGAGTGGGCCCAGGCTCAACACGGAGGGGAGGGGAGTGGGCCTGGGCCCAATGCAGACGGGGAGCGGCCAACACAGGGGGAGGGAATGGGCCCAGGCCCAACGCAGGGGGACGGGGAGTGGGTTCAGGCCCAAAGTGGGGGAGGGAGAACAGGCCCGAGCAGGGAAAAAGCCGGCCCACTGCAGTGGTCCATCCCCCGTTGTGGAAGTCCTGGGGGATGGAAGGAGCAGGCTGCCTCCCCCTCTTGAGCCAGGGCCCACTCCTCCTCCACCCCCCTCCCCCGTGTTAGTATAGTAATACCTCAGTTAAGGAGAAGATGTGTTCCATGACGTCACTTTGTTTTCAGAAACTTTGTTACCAGAGGTAGAAATAACATAGGAGGTATAGGGATGCATTCCAGGATTTCAGAGAAGGGCAGGCAGGGTGACAGTAGGAAAATATCATTAAACTAGCAAATTGCCTGTCGAGCATGATGGGAGGGGGGCAGGTGGGGACAGAAGCCTGCATTGCCCACCCCCCCATCCAGGGCTGTTCCCCCCACTTCAGGTTGGGGTCCAGCTTCCCCCCACTTCCCCCCACTGCTTTTTTGGGTCCAGGCCTGCTCCCCAATCCTGTCATTTTGGGTCTGGTTCCACCCCGCCATTCTCTCCCACTCCTCCCATCCCTGAGCGAGCCCAACGTGGGCAGCGGAGAAGCGGGCATGCTGTGGCGTCAGTGGTGACCATGGGGCCAGGGGAGGATTAGGCCTGGGCCTGACATGGTGGGGGAGCGAGCCTGAGCTGGGGAAAAGTCAGCCTGCCGCAGCAGTTGGGGGGGGGGGGGCAGCAGGCCTGGCCCAGCCCGACCCAGCCCAACAGGGCAGCTGTGGGGGCAGGGGAGGAGCTATACTCCTCCCCGTGTCAGGCCTGGGCCCACTCCTCTCCCACTCCCTTGCATTGTCCCCAAGCCCACTCCTCCTGTCCCCCCGTTTTTCCCCCTCACAATGGCAGCCTGGCTTAAGCCCAGCCTCAGGCCTGGTCATCCCCCACATCAGGCCCGGGCATTCTCCTCCCTTCTCACCACTGCTGCGGCAGGGGCGGGCCCCAAGCAGCAGGAGGGAAGGGGGAGCGGGCCGGGCCGGGGTTGGGGCCGGGGCTCCATCCCCACCCACTCCCTCCCCCCATCATTCTTGATGGGCAATTAGCTAGTTCTATATATATAAAAGCCTTAGTCTGTCTGTCTGTCTATCTGTAATGCTTTATTCACACTCTGATTGGTTGTCTGAAACAACCAATCAGACTGCTCCAAGAGCATTCTGGACAGGAGGCAGTGGGGGCAGCTCACCACCATGATGGTGGCGGCAGAGTGGACAGAGCAGGGAGGGGAGGGGGAGCCAGCAATGCTGCAGCAATGCTGGCCTCACCTCCCCTGCTCCTGCACTTGGAGGCAGAAGGGGATGGTGGGAACTGGAGCGCCATCATATTGGAGGGGACGGCGCAGGAGAGTGAGACCAGCAGCGCTGGCCTGGCCCCCGCAGGCCTGCTCCTTGGAGACAGCTGTAGCATGTGGTGCTGGCTGTGCAGCACTGGCCTCACCCCCCCCAAAGACATGTCAGAGTGACACTGGCCTTGCCTCCCCACCCCCATCCTGCTCCTTGGAGCCATGAGCCAGAGCACCCCCCAACAACAACACCTGGCAGGGAGGGGGAAACAGCGGGGAAGAGGGGAGGAAGGGGAGTGAGAAGGGGAGGGAGGGCTACTAGTGGCAGTGCCCCACTGCCACTCTGACTGCGACCACCACCACCACCGCAACCACTGTGACCACCGCCACCGTGGGCAAGCTCCCCTCCCTCCCCCATTCCTGGGAGCTGGCAGCACAGCACTGACTGGCACAGACCCACACCCAAAGTGGTAGGGGGGCAATGGGGAGGAACCGGACCCAAAATGACAGGGCAAGGGAGCAGGCCTGGACCCAAAGCAGCAGTGGGGGGAAGCGGGGGGAAGCTGGACCGCAACCTGAAGTGAGGGGAACAGCCCCGGATGAGGGGGCGGGCAGTGCAGGCTTTTGTCCCCACCTACCCCCCTCCCATCATGCTTGACAGGCAATTTGCTAGTTTAATGATATTTTCCTACTGTTACCCCACCCACCCTTCTCTGAAGTCCTGGAATGCATCCCTATACCTCCTATGTTATTTCTACCTCTGGTAACAAAGTTTCTGAAAACAAAGTGACGTCATGGAACACATCTTCTCCTTAGCTGAGGTATTACTATAGTGTGTCCCGTTTACAGTTCATAGATCATGCTTCTTGCACTTGTTTGGATGAAATTCAGGATAATGTTTAGCAATGTGGGAGGTGCAATTTTATGTCTCTGCCAATGTGGCCCCTTGGATATCAGGGGATTCAACACAAAAGAAAGTGATGGAAAAGTCAATCCTCCTCTACTGGGGTTTCTATTATGGGAGTGTAGCTTTACTTCGACTAGATAGCATAATTTGAGGATAGTGTCGGTGACTTGGGTTTCATGGTACTTTGTCAGTGGAAACTAAAAATCAGCAAAAAGATGTTCTCTATATAGGATTTTCACATTCCATTTTACAACTCCTGTAGAAGCCATGCTTGAGCATAAGTGGTTGGATCATAGCCATCTTTTTCAGGCAAATTCCCAGTTATTTGGATTGGGACCTTCTTTATGGAATATTTAAATGAGGATGTTTTAAAATATATTACAGATAAATTTATCGAATACTTAATATGTAATGCAGTGTATCACAGAACATATATAATGTCAAATATGTAGCGTACAATTCCAAAACTAGAGAAGCTGCATTTTCAATCAAATTACTCCTGTTTTGGAAACTGCTTTCTGCTAGAACTTAGGATAAGCATGTAATCTTAAGGCTTATCTCAGTGTGAATTTCTTACCTGAATAAAGGAATCAGAACAATTGTAGCAAGAAACTCCTGTATTTCACTACTTTTTCATCATAATATAATGTAACTACAATGACAATTTAACTGGCAATTTAAAATATATATATTTTATATACAGATATATACTCATATATACACACATATACACACACACACGTCTATGTATGTGTATATATATATATGTATGTATATATAATATATGATTCCATATATATTAATATAATATACATATATTCCAGGAGACAATCTTTCTTTAATTCTTGTACTTGGCCTAAAATTAGTACACTGCTGGACATTTTAAAGTGCCTAACAGAGATATATAAATGTAAGTAGATACCAGTGAGTATATTTACCTGTTCTTGTCCGTACAAACATGTCAGCAACATAGATAATATCTGAAGAATAATCCAAAAAGAACCACATGGTTAAGTTGTCATTCTGAAGTTCATCAAAGCAGGCTCTGGATAGCAAAAGGGGAGAAACACACACTTGAAATAGACTACAGTAGTCCCATGAAAGTCAGTGATCGATAGACTGAATGTTCTATATAATCAGAGGCCCTAGAGTTTGTCACTTATTTTACATATTCATTAAAGGTAATCTATCATATTTTATCAAACTTTCAAAACAAAATATTTTATCAAAACTTTATTAACATGAAAGCAAATATGAAAAAAGTGTAGTTTAAAGTTTTTGAGAAAAAACATTTAAAGACCTGCCTTTAAAATTGTTAGAACTTGGATTACATAGGTTTTTAGAAAAAAACATTCAACAGAGAAAGATTCATTTCAGTAATTACAGGAAGTGCTGGTTGTTATGCAGATAGATAAGCTTGCCTAACCTTTTCTATAAGGAGACCTTTTTCAGTTGATAACTTTCTGGTTTTTTCTAATATCTGTGCATTTTAGTCACAGAAAACTTAAGACTAAAGAATATGGAAGTATCAGACAAAAAATAAAGTTATTCTTAATATTCTTAAAGGTCATTATTGAACTGGACAAAAGGCATGCTAGAAAGAGCCCTCAAAGTTGTGTGTGGTCTTTGTTTCTGAGCAGAAGAGCTATTAGACTTCAATATCAGCAAAAAAGGTATATACAATAAAATACTGGGCTAATACACTATTTGCATCCATTCTACCCAAAAAACTGAATGTATTCCTTAAGGCAAACAGATATGGACAATAGACAGCAAAGAGAAAAATATGCACAGAAACTAAAATATCACCTAGCAATGATCATGGTCCAGTTGTACATGACAGGCATCGTGATACAGAACAGCCAGTTGTAATACGTATTTCCTGCTGGGTCAATAACAAAAATGTCTTTCTTCTCCCTGAGCAGTAAGCAGAAAGGAAAGGGAGTATTAAGACATAAATAAAAATATGCACATTAAGTAGGTTATAGGTTTTAGGAAACACAAAAATGTTCTTATGAAGAAAGAAGATTAGCTTCCTCACTTAAATTTAGGAAGGACAAGAAATCAGTAGGAGAACATGACTGGGACTAGAAGCTAGGCCACATTGCTAAGGGAAACTGCCAGGTCCCAACATAGAGAGATACCTATACTTTTAACCTTCTTTAAGTAACTTATTTCATATTAAATTAATTATTCTGTCTGATAAATGATCCAAAGCATCTAGGCTTCATTATTCCAGAAAGTAGTGGTTTTATGGCTACCAGTATTTCAATGTTTTGGACTGATTATGCATTCATATGCAGAAACTTGACAGGCTGTCACAACAAAGTGGTAAAACATATAAAGCACATATGAAAATCAGTTTTGAAATCAGGCTAAGTGCTTTGTATCATTTTCTATAAGATAGAGGTAAGCTCTGTATTTTTATTTATACTTTCATATACTTGTTTAGTCTTATGAAATGGCAGATTAACTGCCACAATATTTGGCATTTTATGTTTAAAATATGATTTTTTTAGAATCAATGTTTTGGGCAAGAAAGGGAGCAGAAACATCATGCTGCTCTTCTGTCTTCCTTTCTCACCCTCTAATTCACGAAACAAGTAGGAATAAGAGTATCCATATGCAGAATTATAGAAACAGCTCCATGAATTAAGATGTCCTAACAATAACCTGAATCTTCCTTTATTAGGGATATCATACGCAGTTGGCTTGCAATACACCCATGACCCATGATTCAATTCTCATCTAAGGCAATTTTTTAGAGAAATGCAACACTAATCAGAAAACTTACTCTTCTTTCTTCTTATCTTTGTCTTTATCTTTAACTTTTTCTTTATCTTTTTCTTTATCTTTATTTTTTTCTTTATCTTTTTCTTTAGTTTTATGTTTTTCCTTTTTTCCCTTGCTTTTTTGTGCATCTGGATCCTTTTTCTTTTTATCTTCAGACTTGCTGGAAAATGAATTAAAATGTATGGTTGTTAAAGGAAAAAAATGAATAGCAACTTGAGAAGAAACTCAGTCTCCTACAATGTAGTATCATTATTACTGTATTGTCTTACCTCTTCTTCTCTTTTTTCTTTTTCTTTTTCTCTTCTCTAAGAAGAAAAAAAATGTGACAGACTCATGAGAGGCGTGTATTTACTACCAATGGCTTTTTTTCTGTTAAAACCTGTTGAATTGTGTAAAGCTAGTGTTATGCTTACACATTTTGGCTAATGAATAAAATCAAAATCCCTGTGTATAGTCTTCAAGCAGAACTATTTTCATTTACTATAATACACATTACATTGGCCTTATAAATTATCAGACACTGTGCACATTATCTTTATATGTAAGTCATACATATGTAGAATTGGTTATTGAATACTTGTTTGGTAAAAACATTGTAAGGAAAGGATTAGATATGTTTCTACCCTTATCACTACTATTTATACTAGTAACAACTTTATTCCTCCTTATACTTAAACTGTAAAATACTTACTCATCTTTATTACTGTTGTTGTTAACATTGTAGAGTGCAGTGCCACCATGCATATATGGTTTCCTTGGAAATAGTAAAATACAGTTGTTATATGGTATATGCTGAGTGAGAGGAGACCTGTAAAACAGTCTTCTGATATAAAATTTACATAAGCATGGCTTGGTTAAAGTTCCTGGCAGGTTTATTAATATTCATAATATTCATTCATAATATGAGATAGGTCCAGTAAAGAGACATGAAAAAACCCACTTGCTATTTTGATTATGTCTATATTTTCCATTATCAGAATTCCAATATTTCTGAAAAGAAAAGAAAGATATGAGCTAGAACTCTTCAAGTCAACAAGAGTTTTGCTGTTGACTTCAACAAAGCCAGGATTTTACTCATATTATGCATGTCTATACGTGCCATTAATGCATAGCGATAAATTCTGCAGCTTATTGCTCCAGAGTTTATTACTCCTGGGAAGCTCCTGGGTGCACCGTTTACATATGTACCTGGACTGCAGCACATTGAGCCAAGTTGGAGCAACCTTGGTTGGCAAAGGACCCAGGGGGTCAACCTGCCAGCCCAGGGCTGCTCCAGACAGGCTCAATGTGCTGTGGAGGGGCTGGTTTAGGCACAAGGGTGCCTCAACATGGGGCTAGCCAGCAAACACCCCCAGCACTGAAGCACCCTTGCACCCCAGCCAGCCAGTCAGTGTCTACATGTGCACTGACATGCACAAAAAAACTGCATCAGAGTAGTAGTTGTATTTACAAGTACTAGCCTGCTGCAGAGTTTATTAGTTTCCTGTGCCCTAATAGGGTGAATATGTACATGCTGAGACATTTCCTGTGGAGCTAATTAGTCAGCTCTACAGTAAACATCTCATGTAAATGTGTCCACTGTCTTCCCTAATATATGCCTGAATATCATGGATCCAATTTTTAAATGCAGGTGTCTTCATTTGGATATATAGGCTGGCCAATTTTATATATGACTATAAACTAACTAAATGCTCAAGTGGGGGAAGGTGTTTTACTTAGGGGGTCTGTGTTTGAAGACTGGTCCTTCTTGTCAATATTACACCTAATAAAATGGGAGTTTATCAACATTAGATAAAAGAAACTGCAAGCTACCCTATTTTGGCCACTACCAAAAGGAGATGCTCAAGGGTACCCTTTAGCATTGCCCTTTGGCAGGGACTAAGACAGGGTGAAGAGTTGCGATTTCTGTTTTATTTTGAACCACGTGTTCTTGTGTGGAAGGTGATAATGAATGGGTTTAAAAACAACCACAGTCCCTTTAGAGAGAAGGGGTGTAGTTTAGAAGGGTCAGTAAGGGAGTGAGGAGGACTTCACTGTGTGTGAGGCAGGGGAATGAATGGTGATGGGCAGGGATGGAAGGAATAATATGTCAGGGAGAAATGTTGTTCTTTTTAATGGAAGACTGGACTGGGAAGTGAGGTTGGGTTAGGTGGCAGGGGAGCAGGAGTGGGTGGGATGGGGTGGGATGGATTGTTTTTTAATTTGTTGAGTTTTCTTTACCTGGATAGGACAGTGGGGTAGAGAAAGGTGTTTTGTTTGTTCTTATTTTAGTACTTTATTCTGTTTCTGTATTTATTTTTCTCTTTTACTGTAAGTTGCCCTGAGCCTTTTTGGGAAGGGTGGGCTATAAAGCTAATATATAAATTAAATGCATAAAGAAATTGAGATACAAAAGAAAACGGATGAAAATACACATAAGTAGGATCAGATTGACAGATTCATAGAGTTGATATGTACCCTACAGAAGGAGGGCAGACATCTCATGTTTTCTTCTAACAGATCATCACAGTGATTTGATCATTATAATTATTGGTCTATCTTAGCTGTGAACTTTGATTTTTTTCCAGGAAAAAAATCTGGATTTAGGCAGCTTTCATCTGAAGTCATTTTCTCCGGCCTTTTAAGGCAAGCAAAATGGGAGGTATTCTAAAAATAGCTGGAAGTAGTAATTACATATTTTAACTCAGCATAAATTCTTTGTGGAAAAAACATTACATTGAATCCAAATATTTTTATTTGCTTAAAGGTCCTTTTTAATATTAACTTTATAATTCTAGCTGAGTGAAATCAGTTGAATTTATAAAAAACAGCCAGATCCAGCTGAAGAGGAGCTGCTAGATTATGGAAAGTTACAGTGGGCTTGTCTACATGAGACACTTACTGAGCAGTAGACTAATTCTACTGCACATTAGCGTGTCATGGTAAAAGCTGTGCTAATGCACAGTAGAATGAGTCTACTGTTCAGTAAGTGTCACGAAAAGACTGTGTGCTCAGTAGTGCTGGCTACTGCACATTTAGTACCTCATAAACTTAATGTACAGTAGCAACAGTGCATTAATGTACATGTAGACATGCCCAGTGCTCCCTTGCTCTTCTAGCACTGGGAAAAGTTACTGTGTTCAAAGGGACAGTCAAAGCTTATTAGACTACCTGCATGTATGGTAGAAGAGAACATTATGGGGTTCAGATGTGGGAAGAGGCATTATGAACTCCTTCAATTGGCTTGTGAATAAAATAAATCTCCCAACCTCCTTCCAAGAGCCAGATTAATGGAAGATACAGCTCCTTATCTTCTCCCCTCTTTTCCTTCCCTCAGTAATGTAACTGAGAGTTAGAGGGGTGCAAAGGCAGCTTGAATGATATCTGAGAAATGTTTCACTCTGGTAATGTTACTATGTTAAGCTAACTATTTCTGACAATTAAAACTGGGAATATAAAAAAATATTAATTAAAAGCAAAACAACTAGAGTTTATTCTTCTATTGATATGAACAAATATTTTAAACTGCTACCAACTTGATATAGATACTACAGTGAAAGGGTAATGCTCTACAGAGTTTCAATATTTCAATTTTCTGTCTGTTACTTGAACTCCCAGTGGCTCGACTTCAACAGGTGAAAGGAAGATGCCCCACCTGCCCATTTTATAATCTGATGGTTAGCGCACTCCCTGGTAAGTAGAAGCTGAAGGGTTTGAGTCACTTCCAAGTGAGAAAGACCTATAACCCAGGGTAAGAGGTGTGATGACAAGGGGCATGTGCACACATTCATAGGACCAGAACTATGATCAGGGATAACAACTTTAACCTATGATTTTTGTGAGCTAAGCTTTATAAATTGGAGTCCCCTTCTCTATATGTAAATTATCTACAAACATTTGTAGATGTGAGGTTCACCTTTGCAAATAATAAAAAAGAGCTTTTCCAAATGGAATTTCTAGTGTGAACATGCAAAAATGTTTACTCACAATTTAATTAATCTTATAGTTTCCTATCAACATTCTTGTGAATAAAAATAAACTATCATGACCTTCTGAACATAATCAAAATCAAAGTATTGTAAATACTAAGAAAGTGGGATTTATTCACTAATGTTGTTTTTGCAGTATAGACACAGCTCAAGTTATGTTATGTTGCTGAATGGGAACGCTTTGTAATGTGATTTGTGCGCACTTTTTTAGCAGTTGAATCCATTTTTTAAATAATCCATATAATCTGACAAAGCCTGTCACATTCTACCTTTCTCCTAATGACTTTCTCTTAATGAAAATTTTAAAAATGAGCTTGTTCTGAGGAGAATAGCGAAGAAAACAACACAAGGATGAATATCTGTCTCCAGATATTCCCATAGAAATCAATAAAAGCAAAGTTTAGTAAGTTTAGTTTACCTGCTTTCTCCGCTCTCTGTTAGTTCTTTGTCCATGTCTGTGTCTTCTACTGTCACTGTGGGTATGTTTACACAGGAGTGCTGGGTGTTAATCACACCTACCTTCATGGTTAGACGGATATGGCCTGGGATAAGAGAAAAAGAAGAATTTAAAAATAGAAAAGCCAGTCGGTAATGGGCAGGTATCAAAAGGAATCGCTTCACACTGATACTTGTATGTCACAAGCTCTCCTATTCGAGACAAAGAGTAGAAAATTTATAATAGAAATCAGACACATGCAATTTAACTACAATAATCTCTTTGTACCTTCATAAACCAGTGCATATCTGGAAAATAGGATGTAAAAATCAATATAAAACAGAAAGGCCTCTGCAATAACTGAAAATAGAACCATTTGACCAGACTAAAATTTAAGAATGTTTTTAGACTATAAAGCAATAATGTAACTTAACTGTAATTCTAAATACATTTATATTCATGATCTACAATTACATATAAAAGTACACACCTTCTAAAACATAGTCTCTCTCTACACAATACTTACAGTATAAAAATCTAGGTTTATATAACATACCTTATCCTGTTCTCCTTAAAAGTGTAACTCTCACAAAAGTCAAGTTTTGTGTATATTAGCACTATAACTTCAGGGCTGTCTGACTTATCCCTGTGAAAGTAGAAACAAAAATGTTAAGTATGAAAATATGATCAGAACTCACCCCTTTACAGTAACAAATGTCAAGGACATTCTAGATGGAGCTTTTCAATAGTCACTTACCCATACCTTGATTCATTCACAGAACTTCCCTTGGTGTTAGCAATGGGAAAGTATTTTCTGAATCTATGTTGATCTTATCTACAAAACACATTGCAACAACCAGACACAACTAGGAGAGCAAAAACCAGAATCTGAGCCTAGATTCTCTGTGCTCTGATTTCTAAGAATTTGTCAATGGTCAACATGAAAATTCCAGGTACGGCTGGATTTCAAATTATTTTGAATTGAATTCTGAAAAATCATCAACTTCCTGCTATCCAAGAAACTCCAAACCCGTGGGTCAGCATTGGATGGTTTGGCTTTGGGGTATTCTTTGGGAATACTCCTCATGGAAAGAAGCAGCCACTTAACTCATCACATGACCTTAGCTAAATAAGGTAGAACCAATTTTTTAAACCAAGTCCCAAAATTTAGACACCTAATTTCATATTTAGGCACCTAAACAAAAGTGGATATTTGTGCCACTGTTGTTCTTAAAGAGTAACTTCCCACTACTTTGTGGAATACAGTTCCACTCAAACTGTGATTAAGTCAAACTATTTCGCATTCTACAAGAGGTGGTAGCCAGTGGATCATCACAGTAGTTGATCATTTATTCTTTCTCTTCCATTATCCAAATTCAGAAAGAAACTAAGGGAAAGAAACCAGATGGGCAGGGGCATCCTATACTTTGGAGTATGCTCAAAAGGTACATGTTGGCCGAAAGACTATTGAAATATGACCAGATTCCTAGCCACGGGAAACACTTTGGATCTCCTGTGCTTAGGATCTTCTGCAACTCTGTATGGGGACGGCAAGTTTTAATGCATGCTAAATTGTAGACTGACCTTTAATTTACAGCTAAGAATTTATTCACCTAAACGTTTTACAGTCGCCTGCCAGTTTAAATGAAATTTCCTTCAGGAAAGATTTATCAGGTCTACAACTATAGTTTTGGTCACGGTTAAGGAAAACCAATAGCTCTATGGTTCAGACATTCATTTGGGAAGTAGTTGACACAACTCCAAATCCTTGCTCTGCCTGATTCAGTTCAGTGGCTTGAAACTTAGCCTCCTATATCCAAGGTGAATATACTTTTCTAAAATGTCTTTCCCTGTTTTAAAAAAGGGTTTTGACTCATCCTGATGCTGAGTGGGAAAATTTTTGCAATTTCAAAAAATTTTGCATTGAGATTGAAAAATAGTTTCCTACCCAGATGTACTTCAAATCCTTTTATCATCTTGCCTTGGGAAAATTGGCAGCTAATAAATGCTAAAAGAGAGATGGCTGATTGGGCTTCCTACTGTCTGTTTTATTTATGTGTATCTTGTAACTTAGACTGAAACCATCTGACTGTACACATAGCTTAACTGTGTAACTTGGTGTTTCATTCACTTCGATCATCCTTATCATTCTATTACTCATTAAATTATTTGTTGTATCTTGATTTCAATTAGACTAGCACCTGGATTGTGTTTTCTATGCATTTGTACAACACCAACCACAAGTGTCTCCTGTGCTTGACTGAGTCTTCTTGCTGCTGTTATAATACAAATAAAAAATAACTTGGGCCTGTATACAAAACTAGAGACTAGTCTTGAGTGGAAGGGCTTGGAAACATGATACAATAACACCAGCATACCTAACTTAAAGGGTGCATCTACACAAGATGCTATGTCACTGTAGCAACAAGCTATGTCAACATAGTTCATCACTTCAGCAACATAGTGTTGGAGGGCACAAACTGTGATGCCAACACTATTGCACAGTAGGGTCAGAAACAACCCATGCATCACCAGGACATAATGGCTGTTGCTGCACAGTCAGAGGCACGTGTACACATGCCCACAGTGTACAAAACACTTATCTGAATTACACCAGTGTCTGGAGCAGATGAAGAACCAAGCTCTCCCAGAGTAGCTGCTGCAATAGGAGCTATCGTATCACCTTGCCTGTTCACACTGAGCAAACATCTATACTGGAATAGAAGCAAAGGCAAAACAACTAAAAGGTGTAACTTACACAGGTGTATTTTACCCCTGATTTTTCTCAGGGAAACTCTACATTAGATTCTAATAAGTTATATCAGTTGAGGCTATATGCTGTGGGTTCAATCACGTTTATATGAGCATAACAGTAACTTTGCCTGTTGTGTTGTGTGTCCAGGCCCTGACTTAGAATTTTGGAAAAAAGTAATTTCTACAGTTGAGTCAAACTATATACGGTAAATTTAAAATAAAAACAAGATTACTTTCTTACTTGCACTGGCATAAATAAGGAGTGCCTCTATTGAAATCAATGAATACCTTTTTTAAACTGGTGTTGATGACAGGAGAGTTGAAGTCAGCTTTTTTGCCTGTGAAATATAGAGCAGAATCCTAGCCTCGTTAAAGTAGTATAAATATTGAAATTAACTCCAAAGAGAACAGGTTTTCACACCTGATTCTTTCCTGCCAGGACAATAAAAGCTGAGGGAATTTTCCATGCTGGGTTTCATGATGAAGTTAGGAACAAAACACCAAAGACTTTAACAGGACCATGATTGGGCCCTTCATATGGGATCACTTAGTTTTCTCAAACACAGTCTGGTGCATAGCTGAATAAGAGAGGAAGGAGCATGGAAAGGAAGTAGCCTGGAGACTGGGAAACCAAAGATCAATTTGATGCTTTGCCACAGACTTGCTAGGCAACCACAGACACGTGTAAGGGGAGATTTGATAACAGGGCACTGACAGATGTGGAAAAAAATACCCCCTGCACTTTACCCGGAAAAGCAGCATGTTAGTTTGACCTGGCTCCACAGCATCTGTATAGATCGGGCACTTCAGCGGGGCTTTCTGGCGCTTTTAACTAAAACTGATTCAGTGTTTCAGTTCCCGGCTTGTTAAATGGAGTCAGTTGTAATTTTTTTTTTTTTGCAGAGGTGTTGACTTAATTAGATGTTGTGCAATGACAATAGGCCATAAATCCATTAAATAGATAAAGCAATAGTTTTGAACCAGGGTGCTGGGGTGCTTTGATCCCCTTTCAAGGGTGCCACACAGTGTTAGCATTGTTAGATGTCCAAACATGATCCACAGGAAAAATCCAGAGATTTCATCCAGGAATCTACAGTCTCGAAAACATTTTGGCCTGTTGTATCTTTCTGAATTCTCTGCAAAAGAAAATTGCTGCATTCATTTTCTGTAGTCAAAAAACAAGTGAAAATTAAGAGCTGACATTTTCCGAGGGGGTGCCTTGAGTATAACTGGGGGTGCCTCAAGTCTAAAAAGTCTGAGAATCACTGAAAGCATCACACAGACATGCAGAAGAGTGACTGACCTGTTTCTAACACACAGAGATTTGCAGTGGGAAAGGTAATTTCTCAGTTAATTAATAAATCATAAACCACAGCGCATTCTAGTTATCAAATAATCTCAGTATAAAAAAATTAAAAGTTTTATATACTTTTTCAAACATGCAGGTAAAATTGAGTCAGAGCATGTTGTTCAATGCCTCTCTGAAGAGTTTTCAAATGTGTCCACATGCAAAAATTCAATCAGCTTCTCAGCTTGGAGTTTAAAATGCAAAAAACATTTAGCACAGTATGAAGCTGATAGACTTGAAATTGTCAGTGACAAGAAAGTCTTCTCAAAAGATTGGTTCATAACTGTCTGAGTTGCTGTGGAAGGCAGTAAACTACTGTTGCATGGATTAAGTGCCTTTGCTCTTCCATCCAGTGTGCTATTGGAAATGGAAGAACCACTGCAACGCAAGAGACTTCTTGTTGAAAGATGATATATATGTATTATTGTGTGAAATTGAAGACATTATTGCCATAGGACTTATATATTCTGTTGGAGGGATAAGAGATGAAATCATGTTTCCACGGTCAGCCAAATAGGGAATGCACCCAGGCAATGTCAACATTTACTTCATCCCATACAACAGATAGATGAAGATGAAATCTCAGGTATTGCTGATTAACCTTCAAGGCCTTATCTATCCCCTGGTGACAGCAGATCCTAACATCATAGGGCATGAGCAGGTCTTACCCACCTGCAACCATAGGCACACTCCAAATCTCAAAGAATGCCAATGAAGATGCTATCTCTGTGCTTGCATTTGAGCCCTGTCTCTGATGTGGTTGAGACTAGCCAGTAAGGAACAATCCTGGAGCAGCCTTACCAGCATACTTTCAAGTTTGGAGAGTGTCAGCAGGTGCAAGTGAGCAGGGTATTGGTGGAATATGTCCCTACTGCAGGGACCTTGTAAAAGGTGTGTGGCCCTTTAAAAGAGGCAGACACAGACAGCTGTGGGTGATCACCGATTATTACCTGGCAATTATTTAAAAGTCCAAGGAGAGAAGGAACAAGGAACTTGAGCTGAGGAAGGAGTGGACTGAAACTCAGAAGCACTCAGCATTAAAAAGGTCTCTTTCATGATGCCTGGAGAAAAGCTAAAGGGTTGTTTTATGCATCTGTTTGTTAGGATGATGTAGTATTGCTTTGTGATGTGAAGACTGGCTGAGGGACTGCCAAAGGAGCAAAGCCAAATAGCAAGGCTGCTTATGGACTATTGTTTGAACGGTCAGAAGGACTCCCGGGCCACATCCAGATGAGCGCAGCCATGCTCTATGTGGCACCGCAGACCCTTCTGTGTCACCACACACCGCACATTCAGGCATTTACCGTGCTGCTACCTTGCAGCACAGGCAAGTGGTTTTGACCGCAGGCGATCCCGGGGCCAAAAAAAACCCATGCAGAAAAAAGCAGGGAAGCGCACATGGAGACAGCGTGAGCCACCCAAAACCAAATCTTGGCCTGCCAGAGCTGTAATGCAGCTGCCGGCCAGGCTCCAAGCCACAGGAGCACCACAGCTGCAGTTTCCATGGCCCCCAGGCCCCCAGGTAAGGCTGATGGGGCTAGCATAGTTGCTGCTGGGCCCAGCCTCTCCTACCCCACCCCGAATAACCTGCCGTATGCCAGAGGGCACGTGGCATGGGCATTCCTCAGGGACAAACTATGTCTGAAGCCCTTAAGGACTAAAACTACTCGGGTTATGTTAGGCAGCTCTACCTCTACGTATAGGTAGTATGTGGTGGAAAAGCAGTAAAGATTTCTTATTCTGGCTTTTTGTCCTTGTTTGACTCAGCTGAAAACTAGTACTTGTACTTTCAGGCTTGAAAGCCAAAATGACCACATGATGCTAGTCATATCAGTCCCTGGTGTGCTGTTGCTTCGGGTATTTTAATTATGCTAGCCTATTGGGCTGTGGAGTTTGGACAGATGTTGGTTTCTCTCTCCCCTCACATGAGTAGGAGAGGGAAGCCAACAGTAGGTAGTGCTGACTGGCAGACTCCACCCTGACTCAATTATTCCCTGAAGAAACTACATTGAGATCCTCCCTGGTATGAAACAGCTGTGCTCAAAACCAGCCAAAAACTCAGTACAGAATAAAGGCAAAAATTCACTTATCACAAAGGAAATCTCTTTTCCAACATAATTGACTTGCTTAGCATGGAGCACACTGCCCCCATGCAGGTAATGCTCCTGAGTACCAGCACTGCTGAGTAGGAACCATTTCTTTTGGTTTATTTTTGCTTTTGAGTACTACTTAGATCCACAAATCAAAAACTGACAACAATTGAAATGCATAAAATGAAGCAATTGAAGAGAAACCTCTTGCATCTTATATCTTTACATCCTGAACACAGCGTTTGGGAATACAGTAGCAGGTCTGTGTTCCTCCACACAGGATTAATATAATCAAAGACAGAATTCATAGACTAATCTTTACAAGTCTAGCTACAGATCCTACAGTCATCTACAATGGATTTTAACCAAGACAGAAGCTTATCTCTGACCACAGGGAAAGGTAAAATATTACTTCAAGGGTTTACCTTTGGTTTGATCTGCTACAGTTATGTCTGGAGTACAGATTTACTATGCCTGACTCCAGTGCCCTCAAACACCATGCAGCTTTTTGCACTTTCACCCTGGCTGGAAGTAATGTTGTTGAGTCTGTGGTGCAGAGGGCAAGTTAATAAACCCTGATTCATACTAGAGCTATTTAGACCATCCTTAACACCATGTGGATGCAACTATATTGCTTCTGGTCCGAGCTCTAGCACATGTGGAACCACACAGTGTGCTTGAGGCACAGCAAATTTGTGATCTAGGGATGTCCTACAGCAGTTCTTGTTACATATGTTTTCTATCACAAACTAGATAAATAAAAACACAAACCCAAATCATCGTAGCAGTTGAAAAGCAAAGTCCTGGGCCTGGGATTAGGAGTGGTTATGAATTATTTGGGAAGCATGAGCTGCCACTACCAGTGTTTTTTATGATGATGCCCACAATACCAAGGTCCAACCTGGTAGAGTTGAGCCCCTCCTTCAAACTAGTTAACTACCCATTGCCTATGTGCAATGGTAAGAGGTATGTATTTCTCTTTTCCTGCCAGATGGTACGTTGGATGCCTAACTGAGCAAAGCCAGGTCTAATGCTGTGGTGGACAGGATTTCTCTGTTTGTCTATCTACAGAATGAAATAGAGTGACCTGTAGGGAGTGGTGATATAAAAGACAGCGTGGAAGTGGGCAAGGGAAAGTAGAGATCTGGGGGAAGCTACGAATGAGAGGTGAGATGGGAATCTCAGAGACTTCCATTCTGAGGAGAGAGGGGATACAGATACACAGAACTTCTGATAAAGGGAGAGACAATATATGGTATAGGGGAGAAATGGGACATCACAATGAACCGCTGTCATGGGAGGAATGAAAAGAATGGGGATGTACACAGAGCCCTTCCATGAGATATGCTCACATAGCAAGGAAAATGAAGAACGAAGATGGTAGAGGACATAGGATTTGTACAGGGATGAGGAAGAATTTCCTGAAATCCCTGGAACAAAGGGGCATGGAAGGGTGGCACGCAGGAAGCTTGCAAGGGAGTAGAGGAACACAAGGAGCCTCCGGCATGTGCAATTCAGTTAGCCTACAAAATCTACCACATGTGTAATCCCTGGCTGTGAAATAGGGTTGCCAATCCTCCTGGATTGGCCGGGAGTATACCAGAATCAACACTGATCTCCTGGTGACTGTTGAAAGCCATCTGGGAGATTGATATTGTAAATGGGTTGAACAGTACAATTAATGACATTATATCATGTTGGGGAAAAAAATATCCCGGAATAGCTTCAGTCAGAGTTGGCAACCCTACTGTGAAAGGGTATAAGGACTGCCCAGTAATGACATAGAAAGTTGAGATTCCATATATTCATTGCAGCCAGGACAGTCAAAGAGCAGTGTGGATCAGGCACACAGTTTAGCCTTTTTTTGTGTGATAAGCTTGCGGAGAGGAAGGTAGGGCAAAAGCGGTATTAAGAGAGGCT